GAAGGGCTTAATGCTAGCAGCATTCTTTACTAGCATAATGCTAGTAGCATTCTTTACCAGCTTAATGCTAGTTGCATTCTTTACCAGCTTAATGCTAGTAACATTCTTTACCAGCTTAATGCTAGTAGCATTCTTTACCAGCTTAATACTAGTAGCATTCTTTACCAGCTTAATGCTAGTAGCATTCTTTACCAGATAAATGCTAGTAGCATTCTTTACCAGCTTAATGCTAGTAGCATTCTTTACCAGCTTAATGCTAGTAGCATTATTTACCTTTGGATTGAACAGTGACTCACGAATGTGGTACTTAATTATTGGAATAGGTAAAGAATATAACAGCCAATAATGTATACTTATAAACAATATATATGTATGTGAATAACAAAAATATTAATTATAATATATATATATATATATATATATATATATATATATATATATATACCTATATAACTAGATAATATATCTTACTACGTTTTAACTTTGAGCAACCGTTACTAAGTTATAACTTTGGTCACATTAAAAATAAACCCACCAAATCAAAAATTATTAAATTACGAATTAATTTATTGATATAAAGGCGGGTACAAGCGTATAGTAGTTTTAATCAAAGCTTATAAAGATTTCACTAACTACTCCTTTCAAAGGTAACAAGAAATTCATTATCATTGTACAATATAGTTAGTTCGCGGAAGCCCTAAACTTCCATGAGGTAATGACGCCGTAAACCTCCATCATAGATATTTACTCAGTAACTCAATCTATAATGTTTCTCAGAAGTATAGGTAGTTTAATAATTGGGAACTGATAGTAATTTAAACTTTCTAAGTATTGTTATTACGAGAAGTAAGTATAAGATCTACAGATCCTTCGGATGTAGATTAAAATACCAATTAGTGGTCCGGCATAGTGCGGCCAACCGTTGTAAGAACATTCTCTTATATATATATATATATATATATATATATATATATATATATATATATATATATATATATATATATATATATATATATATATATATACATAAATTAAAACAACGATAAGCACACTATTTCTTGACTGGGACCAACTTTGCGTAACTTCCATACTAGCTTTTAATGTATAGATTTGGTCAGGAAACATCATGCCAACGTTTAGTGAAATGAGGGAATCACAATAGTGCCAACTTAACTAACAAAAATATTGTCAAATGTGACGCAAATGATTGCCATCTAAAGTGTGCCACAAAAAAAATTGTGGAATAGTTTTAGCTTGAATTTCATATTTATTTTTATTTTTACTGACTCACTTACGAGGTCTACTCTAGAAATTGACGAGATATTACGGGAAGTGTTGAAAACTTGTGTTTACTATCAGTAATGTTACGAAATTGAGAGCTCACGGTAACATTGTATAAAATTATAAATATATTTAAGAATGTTATCTTTTGTTTTATTTTTGCTAAAATTTTATTATCGATACATGCAATTAGACATAAAATTTATATATTTCTTCTATCCTATGATTCCCGTTTCTATTATCAAACTATAATATAATTATAACCCTATACGTTTCCATTTTGAACATCAGGCTGGCCAATATAACGAGAATAAGAGGATTTTTTTTTATAGATTGGTAAGATAATCCTGTCCCAGTCATTTTATATGGCTTGTATAAAGTACGGTTTTTGCCTTGGGCTTTTTTTATACAATTTAGAATGGTAAACAAGCTGACGGCTCACCTGATGGAAAGTGGTAACCGTCGCCTATAGACATGAACAGTACCATGGACAGAACAGAGTATTATATATACATGGTTATACATCATACCTCACTGGTGCCCCGCTACTTTATACCGTTAGCGCGGGCGGGGTTACCATTCCGTTATCATTCATTAAAATATGTTTGTACCAAATTTCATTCGAATGCGTTCAATTATTCAAGCGTGATTGAGTAACAAACGTCTTCACAAACTTTCACATTTAAAATATTAGTGAGATTCGAAATATGAAAAAAATAAAAAAAAGAACTTCTAAATTATAAATGGCTGTAAAAGCTGCCAGTATGTCAGCGATAAGTACGCCCATATTTTTTGCGGCTAAGTTATATGACTACGTCGCAATTTCTGAGTTGTTGGTCCCATTTAATTTTTTTAGACTATTGAAGTTGCCGTTTTGCTTTGTGAAGCCTAAAAACCGCTTCTTATGTAAAAAAAAAAAAAAAAAACTATCTGTAAATATGGATTATAAGTGACGGGAATTATTGCGATAATTTAGGTCATCATCATAACCATATTATAAGCTTTCAACTGTCCATTGCTGAATATAAACCTCTCCATTGAGGGATTTTGCCAGTAATTGCGACGCTTGGCAGGCGGATTTACAATTGCAGTAAGGCTTTGAAGATGTTTTAAAAAGGACGCTGCTGCCCATAACTTGACTTTTTTATTCTCTAAGTTGCCTTTTACGACACCCGCGGGAAAGAAAGGAATGGCCTATTCTATTTACCACACGCCTAAAACCAAACTAACTAATGCTAGGTGAATATTTGTTTATTACCTTAACCAACTATATTTATTTGTTTATTCATTAGTACAAATATATGTACATGGCGGATTTCATGCTAAAAGCATTCTCTCCCAGTCAATCATAGGGAAGGGTCAGAATACTCGAATGCGGTACTACTAATTATTGATATACATACATACTAAATTTACATATATAAACGAATAAATATATATATAAATAACAAATATACTTACACATATATGACCTGTACTGTATTATACCATACACGAAATTGAGAATAATATAAAGCACTTACTGCTCGGATAAAGTAAAAAAGTGAACATGAACGTTTTTTTTAAAGACGGTTTAGTCGATAGTCTCTTAATGATATCAGGAAGCGCGTTCCAGAGTCGTGAAGAATGTAGGAGAAAAGAATTTGAAGCGAAACCAGTACGGTGAGAGGGGATTGATATATATATATATATATATATATATATATATATATATATATATATATATTCAAAATTCAAAATTCAAAAATCATTTATTCATGTAGGACATTTTAGCCGCTTATGAACGTCAAATTTTTACATTATAATTTTATATTTACCCTACCGTCCAGTTCGGTATATAGATCCAATTGAGAAGAACTGGAAGAACTAGAAGAACTATATATATATATATATATATATATATATTATTTTAACATTTAAATTTATATTCAATAAGTTAAATAACTCATTTTAATGCACCGTACCTATCTGGGCTAGCATTGTCTACTCGCTGTGCACGGATCTGTCATGCGAAACATAGATAAAACCGAACAAACATACTTATATATACTGTGTTTACTGGAAACATTTCACTGGAAAGTCCGTTATACAAGGATTTTAGTTACAACTATGTAGTTCGCGTGACACCGCAGTACGTGCTCGGAATTAAATATTGCTTTAAAATATTGAGGTTTTTAAACGGGGTAAAATAGGTTAGATGAATAAATAGATGGAATATGCATTAGTTATTATTGGCGACCGGCCGATGCAAACTCTTTAGACAATATTGTACTTTTTTATATACATTTACTTTTAGAATGTTCTTATTATTTGTAATTTAAATTTTATATTTTTTTTTAATATATCACATTGTTCTGTTCCTTGCTTGCTGTTTAATACATTTTATTTCGCTACTAAATTCCGTGTCTACATCATTTCATCACCTCATCACAGTCGACCGCTATTGAATGAGTATACTTTATTTGCATTATACAATATAGGAAATAAGCAAGGCAATTTACAAACACAACGATACAATTGTATAAGTACAGTAAGGCGGTCTTATTGCTGAGAGCAATATTTTCAAGACAATCTTATATTGTGGCCGTATGGTCCGGCATAGAATAGGCCACCCTTTTCTATCCCGTGGGTGTTGTAAGAACCGATTTAGGGAGAGCGAGGGATGAGCAGCAGCGTTCTTCTTAAAACATCTGTATAGGCTAACTGCGGTTGCCAACATGCCTGTCAAGCGTGGCAGCTACTGGCAAACCCCCCATGGGGGTGGCATACGTTCAGCAGTGGACAGTTAAAGGATGATATGATGATGACGATATTATATTGTACTATCTTTGATCATGTTATTACCTCTCAATAAGACTGCCTTGCTGTCTTTTTTTTTTATACAACTTAGAATGGCAAACAAGCTGACGGCCCACCTGATGGAAAGTGGTAACCGTCGCCTAAAGACATGAGCAGTACCATGGACATAATAGAGTATACTGTTTCGCCCATGATACCCCCATGCGTTGCCATTCCTGAGGACTCAGGTGTTATTCCTCTGTACCCAGTAAATTCACGCCATATCCCACCCTTCAAACCGAAAAACAGCCATGCAAACACACCTGTTTCACGGTTGAAACACGAATGGGACAGAGGTACCCAAGCAATCGACTTTATACAACTGTATCGTTGTGTTTGTAAATTGTCTTGCTTATTCCCTATATTGTATAATGCAAATAAAGTATACTTATTCATTCATTCATTCTAGATAGAGTGTCTCGATGTAAATGTATTTTGGAAATATTTCAACTTATTTATCTTGCGTGCGTGATAAGGAATTATAATTATTAATTTAAAACAGGGGCAACCCTAAAAACTTTGTGTATCGAACTAATTCTCCGATAATTGAAAATACCGATAAATAGTCAGATTTCTCCGGACAACGACGGTAGGCTCAGTTCCTGCCACGTAGAATTCTAATACGTTCTACGAAATGTAGACATGACGAGTGTAAATTATACGACGGACATTTCCTCATTGTGGAGCAAAATCAATATGTTTAGGGGCAAATTTTACATTTACGGGGCAAAAATAGAATCTATGTGGGGCAAAATTTTCAAATACAGAGTGAAGGTTTTAGGGGCGACTATTGCATTTGTGGGGCAAAATAAACCTGTTTGCGGGACAAACTTTGCCTGTCACTTATGCACGGTATATTAATAATCCCGTTTTTGTTGCAGTCGGACCAACTCTCCAAGCCAAATATCCTGTAGTGATATTCATCCATGGTGAATCCTTCGAGTGGAACTCTGGGAATGTGTATGACGGCGCTGTGCTGGCTAGTTACGCTGGAATTGTAGTTATCACTATTAATTACAGACTCGGAATATTAGGTGAGTAAAACATAAAACTCTCCTTTCATTTCCCATGCGCGTTTAAGAGGCGACTAAGAAAAAATACATGAACACTCTGGTTATAGAATGAGGTGCCTGCCTAGTTTTTCCCAATAGACTACAGCATGAGGTTCTTCAAAAGGCGGGTAAAGAGGTCTCTTCAGTAATGCAGCCGTTCATAGGCTACGGTAACCGCTTACCATCAAGTGGGTCATACGCTTGTTTGCCACTTCAGTGGTATAAAAACAAAATTATCGAGGGATAGAGCAGTGTCCCTCTTAAAACACTACCAAAGCCTGTGTTTACTAGCCTGCCTGACAAGTGTACCAACTATTGGCAAAATTCCCCAATAAGGAAAGGACTATGTCCAACAGTGGACAGTTAATAGCTAATCTGTTGCAAATTAAAAAAAAAATGACGATATAAAAATTCTTATAAACGAGTTTATTTGAACAAAGGTAATTTGAATTTACTTGTCACAGATTAGTAAACACGTATGTCAACAAATGAATATGTTTTTTTTTACAACACAGAGGACAAACGAGCATGCGGCTCACCTGATTGTAAGTGACTACCGCCGCCCATGATCACCCACAACACTAACGGCATTGCAGGTGTGCTGCCGGCCTTTTAAAAAGGAATATGATCTTTTCTTGAAGGTTATGTTGTCGTATCGGTTCGGAAATACTGCTGGTGGAAGTTGATTCTAAAGAGTGGTTGAATTTATAAAATTGTTTTTTTTTTTTTTTAATTAATACTTTGATTATTATTAAGAAAACAAAAATATTGTGTATCATTATTTTTCTGTACATTATTAAATTATTTGTGAAATTTAAATATATTTTTAAAATTCGTTATTTGATTAACAGAGAAAAATATAATATAATTTTTTAAACTAATTATTAATAAAACTAATATAAATATAAAATACAGCTGTTGGTAGGCAGAGCGAAAAATTAATTGAATTTTTATTAAAATAAGTTTTTTTTTTACACAACTTAGAATAGCAAACGAGCTGACGGTCCACCTGATGGAAAACCGTCGCCTATAGACATGAGCAGTACCATGGACATAACAGAGTATACTGTTTCGCCCATGATAACCCCCATGCGTTGCCATTCCTGAAGACTCAGGTGTTATTCCTCTGTACCCAGTAATTTCACGCCATACACACACCTGCTTCGCGGTTGAAATACGAATGGGACAGAGATACCCAAGCAATCGACTTTTGAACAAAGTCTCTCCCTTAGAAATTGATTGTTCAAATTTCACAAATAAAACGTATATGTTCAATAATATAGTTTTAAATTGACTTGTTACTGAAAAGAAATAATCTCAATTACATTTACAATAAAGTTCGTTATTGAACAGAAAAAAAAATCTGGAATTTTATAATATATTTAAATCATATTTCTTGTTTTCATACAAATTGAAATTCAATCTTCTTTATTCATACAGACTTGTTTACCAGTACTTTTAAATCGTAATTTGTTTTAAATCCACTGCAGGGCTCGAAAAGTTATCTATTGAAAAGAGCCCACAAGAAACTCAAGAGTTACACTTTTAAATCTGTTTCATAATCATTTATACATACCAAAATTTTACCAATTACTGAGAAATATTACTGCGATGCCGTATGGTCCCGGTATAGAATAGGCCATCCCTTCCTTTCCCCAGGGTATCATAAGAGGCGACTTATGTAGGGCGAGGGATGGGCAGCAACTTCCCTCTTAAAATATCTCCAAAGCCTAACTGCGGTTGCCAATCCGCCTACCAAGCGTGGCAACTACTAGCAAAACCCCCCCAAGGGAGAGGTTTATGTTCAGCAGTGGACCGTTAAAGGCTGATATAATGATTATTGCGATACTACTCTATATAATTAGAAGTTTTTTGCTGTTTGCGGGCTACCAATCCTATTGCTAGCAATATTGCTAGCAATGGGACTGGTAGTCCGCATTACTAGCAATCCCTTCCTCTCTGTCTGGCTATACTTTGGGATAGATGATAATGTCACGATAACCCCGTCTGCGCTAACGGTATATGCTGGCGAAGCACCAGTGAGGGGTGATAGATGAGAATGAAAAGGCAGATGAGTTAACCCATCATGACAAATACAACCACATAATGGTTTCCAGAGGGACCACGGGGAGATCGACCTGACAGGGTATATTGCTAGCAAAGGGACTAGTGGTCAACAATACTAACAATCCCTCCCCCTATCTGACTATAGTTAAGTTACATCCTCCATAAGGGGAGACTCATCCCCAGTAATAAGACGCTAACTGGTTGTCTTAATCTTGAAAGTTATACAGGATAGTGTTAGTAATTTAAACAGTTCCGGGAATTTCTATTTCATATTACCTACGTAATATTACGGGTAATATTTAATATTAAAAGGCAATTATTGAGTTGCATATTAAATATAAATTAGTAGTTTCTAGTGAATATTAATGTTACAGCCACCACTTTACGCTTTGTGTATTAAGTTGTATGTTACACTAGCGATCCAGCCTGTCTTTGCACGGGTAGGGATAGAAAGAAAAATTAGTATTTTTTATTAGCAAATTTTTGATATCTTACTTTATTTGAATTTTCGTAGGAATATTTACTATGTGTAGGTTTTTTTTCTATGTTTGTTATCTCATAACTTCATTAATTTAAAATGGATTAAGAATTTTTTTTATCTGAAAAATATCATTAATTATTAATTAATATATAACTAATGAAATTCAAAACTCAAAACTCAAAAAAAAAATGTTATCCAAATCAGTTCAGTGTTTTAGTTTAAAAGTCAGTTTTTTACGGCGGAACATAATGTTAAATTGTTTTATACTGCTATGGGGGTATTTGTGAATTCTACTCATTTTCGGTTGTAAGGTACCATCAATATTATAGAAAACACTGTTAATTAAAAGTAAACATAAAGAGTTTATGGGTTGTTTTATGAAAAGCTTTTTGTTAACAATAGGTTTTAATATTATAAAAGCAAATGTGATGCAGTGTAGTTGTTATTCCATGGCGGTAATTCGGTTCGATGGGTGGGGTATGGCGATGAAATTAAAGGGTATGGATGCATAATACCTATAAAGGTATTATGCACCCTGAGGATAACCTCAGGGTTGTTTTTAATGGATGATAGCGGTATGATAGCCCTGCCTGGGTTAACGGTATACGCTGGAGAGGTACCAGTGAGGAACGATAGGTGAGAATAAAAAGGCAGGTCAGTTAGACCACCGTGATGAATACGCTTAGAATTCAGCACGATGGTATCCAGGGGGGACCATGCGGACGCCGATCTGACAGGGTATATTGCTAGTAATTGGACAATGAATTTACAGGGTACAGAGGAATAACACCCGAGTCCTCAGGAATGGCAACGCATGGTGGGTATCATGGGCGAAACAGTATACTCTGTTATATTCTGGTAGTGCTCCTGTCTATAGGCGAGGATTACCACTTTCCATCAGGTGGGCCGTCAGCTTTGCTATTCTAAATTGCATAAAAAAGGTAGTCTAACAAACCCTTTCATCCCTAATTCTCAGGGTATGAAAGATACTACGTGCATTATATCAAGTAATATCCATATTGTTTGTGAGTATGGGTGGTGCTTACTAATGTCCACCATGTAGGCTGTCAGCTTGTATTTGATTCTGAGTTCTAAAAATTTAATACGGAATGGACAATCCTCTTCTACCTTAAGATTCTTATAGCATATATCTATATTACGTATTTTCTATATGTCTTAGTATAATTACATACATACATACATACATATCTGTCACGCCTGTCTCCCATTAGGGTAGGCAGAAACAATGGAGTAGTATCTTAGTATAATTCTGTGTTTATAATTCAATTAATATTGTAAATGTGAACATTTGTAAGATTTGTGTTTATTACTCTTTCACGCAAAAATCACTAAACAGATTTGAATGAAATTTGATACACGGATAGATTATATCTTAACTTAGTACATAGGATACTTTATGTACTAATTTATGCAGTCAAAGCTGCGGGATACTGTTAAAATATAAATATTTTATGTATTTAAACTAATTCTTTAATTCATAGTCTGTAGCACCGCTTACTTATTCCTCTGTACCTGTATGGTTACCGTAGTCTATGAACACCTGTAATACCAGAGGTATTACGCGCGCGTTGCCGACCCTGAAGAAACCTCTTTACCCCCCTTTTGAAGAACCCCATGCTGTAGTCTCTTGGGAAAACCTCGGCAGGGATACATATTTGACAGATAAATTATTATATTGTTATATATTATATTTTGATTATAGAACATTAATAAAAATGACTATAGAATTTTTACAACAAGAGGAACGCTCATTTCAATCTCTTGCTCTCCCTTAGTCGCCTATTCTATACCAGGATATAATACGAGAAACGGGAATATGTTGATATTTACATAATGTTCTGTTTTTTTTAAATATATATTTAATTAGAAAATTATGTTGCAGGTTTTCTAAATGCGAATCCAATACCGCATTTGAAGGCGCGCGTTGCCAATTACGGGTTGATGGATCAAATCGCAGCGTTACACTGGATTCAACAAAATATCGCTCTATTTGGCGGCGATGCTGGCAACGTCACCATGCTAGGCCACGGGTCCGGTGCTGCGTGTATTAATTTCCTGATGATATCACCTACTGTTATGCCCGGTAAGTTAATATTAATTTTTTCTTCATTTAATTGACCATTGCTAAATATAGGTCATAAAGAATAGTCCTGAACCATCTGCATTCACTGATTGCGATGCAATTGCTATCTCTCTATATAGAAGGTCGTTGTCCTACACTATTTTTTTTTTTGTCTGATGAGTAATATAAATTTAATTATATTTACTTTTAAATATAAATTACGGCTTCACGTCCTAAAAACTTGATATCACATTTTTTCTTTTTTTTTTTAATAATTTTCTTTTTTCGCTTCAGTCGTAGATATTATATATATATATATATATATATATATATATATATATATATATATATATATATATAATTATACAATTATATATATATATATATATATATATATATATATATATATATATATATATATATATATATAATGTTATGTAAAATCCATCCATTGTGTGATTGCTGTGTATTGTACCATTTCGAATTGGGATGAAACGAAAAAATATTTACGAGCATGAAAACAAGGAAATAAAATAAATAAATATATATCTATCTGTTTTGAATTCAGCCAACACTATAATTTTGTGTTAATTTAAACCGACCTACTAACCGATGATCGTAAAACACCCTTAATAAACTTAATTATTCTAAGAGACAGCGGTAAGCTCGCTCTGCCACTTTGTGATTAAAGTGTGCTTAGTAAAATGTAGATGAATAGAGTAAAATACTTTCCTTACAGTAATAAATGAATAACTTTGACTACCCCTTTTGAAATTGTAGTCGTGAGTATATATTTTATTTAAGCTGTAAACTAAAAGTCATGTATCATATATAAATGTTTATAAATTTGTTTTTATCATATACTATTTAATTTTGTCGTATGATCCCGGCATAGAATGGGTCACACCTTCTATTCCCGTGGGTGTCGTAAAAGGCGACTAAGGGAATTTTAAATAAAACGTCATCAAAGTCTAACTGCGATTGCCAACTCGCCTGCCAAGCGTGGCAACTACTGGCGAAATTTGCCAATAGGGTCAGGCTTATATTCAGCAGTGGACAGTTAATGGTTGATATAATAAATCATATATTACGTTAAACACATTCACAAAGCAAGTAACTAAGAAAATTCATACAGTGTAAAAACATGAAAAACCGTAAAAATGTATTATTGTCTTCAATTACAAATCGTTTATTTTAAAATTTACAATTACTATAAAAAAAACTATTAATATTTACAAAAAAAACATTTCCTTTAATACATGCCATTTTTTCCAGGTCTATTTCAACGAGCAATCCTTCTGTCTGGTTCAGCATTAAGTTCATGGGCACTAGTGGAGGACCCGGTCAGCTATTCCGTCCAACTGGCAAAGCAATCCAACTGCACCCTCCCCGAAGACATCGTGAAAGACCACGAGCTAATCGTGGACTGCCTTCGAGAGGTGCCACTCGAAGAGCTGATGTCCGCAGAAATTAATACGCCGAGCTACCTCACCGCTTTCGGTCCGTCTGTCGATGGTGTTGTCGTCAAAACAGATTATGCGAAGGAACTGCTCACTTTCTTCATACCAAACGATCTTCAAGGATTCACAAGTGTCTCGGGCGTTAACAATTTCAAAGCGGACAAAAGAAGCGGAGACAGAATTTTCGGGATCAGAGGGGGTCAAAATAAATACGATTTACTATTTGGAGTGGTGACAAGCGAAGCCCTTTGGAAATTCTCCGCTCAGGATATACAAAATGGATTTGAGGGTGAGAGGAGGGATAGAATAATAAGGTGAGGGCAATGTTTATTCAGTAAATTGGTGTTCGGAAGCAAGGGTCTTAGAGACGTCTTCATAGGAATGACCGTTAATGAAAGGCCCTTGACCTTTGTTTGCTGGTAGTTGAAACTATTCTGTAATCAACGTACAAAACCAATGTAGCTTACTTAACTGGAATATTAAATAAAATATATATATATATATATATATATATATATATATATATATATATATATATATATATATATATATATATATATGAAGTGAGGATAGATTTTCGTTACTCTTTGGCACAAAAACTAATGAACGGATTTCAAGGAAGTTTGATATAAGAGTAAGTTATATCCTAACTTACTACATAGGATACTTTATGTACTAATTCATGCGGGTAAAGCCGCGGTATATGGCTAGTCACAAATAAACTAAACATGTATTTTTTTTCTTTTTATTGGATGAAAATGGAGTGGTAACCCCGCCTGCGCTAATGGAATACACAGGAGGGGCACCAGTGAAGGGTGTTCGATGAGGATGAAAACATGCCAGTTAGCCCATCATGATACAGATGTAATACATGTTTAGTGGGGAGAAAAGAGATTGTTAGTAATGGAGACTGAGAATCCCATTGCTAGTAATATACCCATCCACGTCGACCTCCTCGCGGTTCCCCCTGGAAACTATCATGATTAATTCCTGATGAATTCGTCATGATAGGCTAACTGGCCTGTTTTCATTCTCATCTATCACCCTTCACTGGTGCTCCGCCAGCGTATCCCGTTAGCGCAGGCGGGGTTACCATACTATTTTCACCCATCAAAAAAAACCCAACTGCTTCACGGTATAAATACGAATACGAGAGAGGTACCCAAGCAGACCACTTTTGTACAAAATCTCCCTCTGGTATATATTTAAAGTATATAAATGTATTTCTGAGAAAATATTTTTTACGTAAATAGATACAAAAAGAATTGAATGCTATTTTTATAAGGGAATCAAACGTAATCTCAAAAACATTTGCGTTCCAATTCCTACGTATGTTTAATTACAAAGGTTATTATATACCGTTTATTGAAATGAAATATTACAAATTTTCGATACATTTTAGTAGAAAAGCAGAAAGGCCTTTAACATCGTTTGTAATTGAAAAAATACGAATATTAATAGTAGGCAAAAATGAATACATTTTGTTACAAAAAAAAAAATACCAATTTCGATCGTGAAACAAATGTAGCTATTTTGATGTATAAACTGAACTATGGGACTGATTGACGAATTTTCTATGGAAGCAATCTGAATGTATTATCATTAAGTTATATCAGCCTTTAACTGTCCACTGCTGAACATAGGTTTCCCCTTAGGAGGTTTTGCTAGTATTTGCTACGCTTGGCAGGCGGGTTTGCAACTGCAGTTTTTTTTATACAACTTAGAATGGCAAACAAGCTGACGGTCCACCTGATAGAAAGTGGTAACCGTCGCCTATAGACATGAGCTGTACCATGGACATAACAGAGTATACTGTTTCGCCCATGATACCCCCATGCATTACCATTCCTGAGGACTCAGGTGTTATTCCTCTGTACCCAGTAAATTCACGCCATATCCCACCCTTCAAACCAAAACACAGCCATGCAAACACAACTGCTTCACGGTTGAAACACGAATGGGACAGAGATACCCAAGCAATCGACTTGGTGTTATTTTAAGAGGGTCGCTACTGCTCATCGCTCGACCATTAAATTTCCTTGGTTGCTTCTTACGATACCCACGTGAAAGGAAAGGATAGCCCATTCTATACCGGGACCATATGGTAAAAGTCGTATGTAAATTCTATAGTTCTGTTTACATGTATTGACAATGGTTACCGGTTTCCATCACTACTGCCTTATAACATTTATATCATAATGTAAAATGGTACCAGATCATATTAGAATAGCGCAAACCGTTCATACTTTCAGAGCTCAATTAAAAATAAAATATTAATATACTTTTATTGGGGAGAAAGGGATTGTTTGTAATGGAGACTGAGAATCCTATTGCTAGCAATATACCCAAACAGGTCGACCTTCTCGCGGTTCTCCCTGGAAACCATCATAGTTAATTTCTGATGAATTCATCATGATGGGCTAACTGGCCTGTTTTCATTCTCATTTATCACCCTTCACTGGTGCACCGCCAACGTATCCCATTAGCGCAGGCGGGGTTACCATACCATTTTCACCCATAAAAAAAAAACTTTTATTTATCTTTTGTGTCCACAAGCAGTTACTAAATATATAGCTATTAATAACACATTTTTTTATTTATTATATTATTTTTGCGCCATATAAGTTATGTTTTATATACAAATTTTATATATATTTTTCCATTCTGGTGCCCAAGGTTGACTGGAAGAAATCCCTTCAAGTGATAAGTCCGCCTGGGCATATTTTCATTATAACCTGAACGTACTTAAGTATATAAATAAATAAAATATGCTATAAAATCAGAATTTATGTAATAAAAATGGAAACTTATATAACTAGGATCCAAGTCTCGGACAAAAGCTGATTTCCAGACGAATTGTATTTTATCCATCCAGTCCAAGTATTTCCTTCGGAGAATAATTTTAAAAGATATCTTTTCGTTTCAGGACATACGTGAGGAATGCCTACACATATCATTTAAGTGAAATATTCTTCACGATAGTCAATGAATATACAGATTGGGAGAGAACTGTTCAAGTAAGTGTACAATATTATATTAATTTAAATAAGAGGTTAGTCATTTTTACTTCTTTTTTATATAAGAATACTACTAAGAATACTAAACTAGTATATAAGAATTTTATCCCACGATATGGCTTTATAATAATCACCGAAACCACATTTGAGTTTCTTGCCCATTCTTCTTGGCTGAAATTACGTCCGAAAAAATGACTATTCAAAATCGTTAAAATCTAAGTTTACTTTTATAAAAATATTTGTTCCTTTCTTTCTTTCATTCACCCGATATTAATGAAATAGGGTTCTGCTTCACAATAATCGACTTATTTAAAACATATTTTATGTTTTTTTTTTTTAACTACAAAACGGGCTCCGTTTCGTTCAAGTAAATAAAGTTTTCGAAAATAATATATAGCCTAAACTATTCGCTGATAATGTAACTTTCAACGGGTTAAAGAATTTTTAAAATCGGTTAAGTAGTTTTTGAGTTTCATCCATTACAAACTACCAATAAAATATTTCCTCTTTATAATATTAGTATAGGGAAACTGGAATTATGTTATTTGTTGAATTTACAATAATGCAATCCTTGCAATAATATAATTGTTTTATTCATAATCATTTATCATTACCACTTACAAGATACAAGAGATATTTTGCTAGTGCATAAAATTTTGTTAAATTTTCATTAACATTTCATTATTCGTTTCGGAATAAAAGACGAAAATTTAAATTTTATGCATAAAATACTTTTGCAGCATACTAGTTAAATGTCATTTTAGCATCTGTTGCCACGATGATTTGGCACTGCATTGCAAATGTGGACGTGCCAAATTCCTTTATTCCGATCATATCGTTTTCATGTTTCAAATTTTAGTTCAGAAACTTCAGTATTGTATTTGTATTTGGTTACAATTGTGAGATCTGTATATGCATATTTTACTTACCTATTTTATGACACGCTTTGGTGCAATAATTTCCTGAGGTTGTTTTGCTGAAAAAGTTAATGAGCGACTTCCAAAAAACATTCTCAATTTGCCTGATTTATTTGCATTTACTATTTGTGTCTGATTTCTACCAGAGGGAGACCTTGTACAGAAGTTGTCTGCTTGAGTACTCGGTCGCACTTGTGCTTCTGCCATGCCAACAGCTGGGCTGTGTTTAGGTTTAGTACCGTGTACATGACAGAATATACTATTTCGTTCATGATATCCCCGATACGTTGTTATTACTGAGGACTCAGGTGCTATTTCGACGTACCCAGTAAATTCATTGTCATATCCTTTCACACCGAAACACAGCCATGCAAACACAACTGCTTCACAGTAAAAACACGAATGGGACAGAGGTAAATGTAGAGGTAGATGGTAAACAGCCGACTTTTGTACAGTTTTCCTCTGATTTGTAAATCAGTCGATGTCCTTGCTATTTTTCTACTTGGTGCCAGCCCTTCTGATACTTTTACGCCATTCCTAGCGCTTTTACGTCATCTCGGGTATTAAGCCCATCGTCCGCAAAATTTTTTATAGGTGAAAATAGAATGGCAACCCTGCTTACGTTATCGGTATACAATGTCGGGCTACCAGGAAAGCAAGGCAATTGGACTATCGTGATAAAATCGACAAGAACTAACCATCGTGGTTTCCAGAAAGAACCACGTGAAGTTCGACCTCATATTGCTAGCAATATATTTGATAACTTATTTACTCCTAAGAATTGTTTCCCTCAGGAAATCGATGTTTGCAACTTAATCCTCTCTGCCAACCCCATAAAATACCTGCCATGAAGTTAAATAAGTTACCACAAACATTAAATAAACTGAGGCAGTAAAGTTTGACTCGGCTCGTGTCTCTTTATGACTTTATTTTAATTTAGGTACCTACTTCTTTCCACTGTCACTCACTTTGTTTAAAGGGAATTCAATTTATTTGTTTCTTTGCATTTCCCCCATTTTTCTTTCTGATTAAATTCTTTGTGAGATTTATAAGGCAGCCGTAGCTCTCCCCAGGGATTGTGTAAAGTATATCCTTCATAATGCTTCAAGTAGATTTTTCCTTCCCAAAGAAATAGTTAGTTCAATAAAGGTATAATTGAAAATGACTGGTAAGACTCGGTGTTATTTTAAAATAAAACAAAAAACATACTAAACTATAAATGATGTGATAATTTGGAAATATATTAGAATTAATTAAATTTCAATTTAGAATGCAGAATTGTTTGCAAACCAATTTTGTTTCGAAATAAGCAGAATTTTACAGGACCTAAAAGTGATGATTTAATTTTTTTTTAAATAATATGGGATTATCATGGATGTGAACACTAGATGACGATAAGAATTAATAAAATCGGTTCATAATTTGAGAAAATATAGCGTAAAATACACACAATAATGTAATATTCTTCAAATGTGGCAAAAACAATTTTTTTTTTATTTAAAAACTGAACTTTTTTTTTAATGGGTGATAATGGTATGGTAACCCCGTTTGCGCTATCGGTATACAATGGCGGGGCATCAGTGATAGATGACTAATGAGGATGAAAGCAGGTCAGTTAGCCCATCCTGACGAATTCAACTAGAATTAGTCACGATGGTTTCCAGGGTGGAGCCATGCGTGGAGGTCTACCTCACAGGGTATATTGCTAGTAATGGGGCTATTTGACCCCATTACTAACAATCCCTTTCCACTCTAAAAACTGATCTATTAAATCGATTTCAATAATATTTCTATAATACTAATTTATAAGTAAATCCTTTGAGAAAAAAAAAGCATTTTTCAAACCGGTTTGTAACTGACGGAGTTATGAGATAACAAACATAAAAAAAAATATACAACCGATTTGAGAACTTCCTTCTTTTTGAAAGACACGAAATTGAAAACACAAAAAAAAAAATATTGAGAACCCTCTTGTTAATCAAAAAACTGTGTCATTTAATTTTTAAACGTTCCAACGGACCTCTAACAATAACTACAGCACAATTCATTAATGCATACAATTTCAATATTCCAATAATTGTACGAATAATTTATGTAATTTTTTTATTTTATACATACTTTTATTAAATTCCAATCAATATTCATTTCATCACGTTAAGAATATAAATTTATTGGCATTATTTTATTTTATTGACATTATAACGTTTTGATATAAATAATAAATATGAAATTCGGTCACGTGCTTATGCAAGCCAATATTAAATTATCGAGGAATTCACGCAGCGCCCGAACATATTTTGTGAATACAACATGAATTATTTATAAATTGACATATTTCATTTTTGTCAATTGTTATTCGAAACTTAATTGTTATTGTTCATTTATATAATAATAAGTTACTGTGTTTGCATGGCTGTGTTTCGGTTTGAAGGGTGGGATATGGCGTGAATTTACTGGGTACAGAGGAATAACACCTGAGTCCTCAGGAATGGCAACGCATGGGGGGTATCATGGGCGAAACAGTATACTGTGTTATTTCCATGGTACTGCTCATGTCTATAGGCGACGGTTACCACTTTACATCAGGTGGGCCGTCAGCTTGTTTGCCATTCTAAGTTGGATAAAAAAAAAAGTTGTAGATTTGGCCTTCCATAAATTGTTTGTTCATAAATTATTATTAATATTATGTCAGTTGCTAAATCTACACTAGTGAACAGAGGCTTCCTCCTAGTGGGGAATTTTGCCAGTAGTTGCCACGTTTGGCAGGCAGGTTGGCAATTGTAATTAGGCTTGGTTGATGCTTTACGAGAGACGCCGCTGTCCATCCCTCGACTATTAAGTTCTTTCAGTCGTCTCTTGCGAAAGTCACGAGAAAGGAAATGGTGGCTCATTCTATGCCGGGACAACACAACAGCTTACCATAAATCCAAACGTTAAAAAATCAACTTATCAACCGAATATGTACACTCGATATCTTTGTCTGATTTTGTATCGATTTTGATTACTCTTTTTATTTGATTTATTTGATTCCTATTTTGAATCCATACTAATTTTATTAATTTTTTTTCCATAATAATGATATAAAGAAGTATATTTAATTCCCAATTGAAATAGACTCCTTCATCTAATGAATATTCATTTGTTTTTCAATATATCTCTATTTTATATATCAAAACTTACGATGAGCTTAGGGAAGTAAGCAAATAATACCTAAAATAAACCTATATAGATACATCTCTGGCTTTATCCACTTTCATAACGTCTCATATAAGTATATACGTCGCTTTAAATAACTCTTGACTTGCTCAAACACTTTTATATAAGCACAGAAATATTGCTTACTATTTGTTATTTTAATATTTTATTTTCTTACAGCATCCAATAAACACAAGAGATGCGGCTGTTCTAGCGATCTCTGATGCCCAGTACGTAGCTCCGTTAGTTCAAACAGGGGATTTTCTAAGCGTCGCGAAGAGCTCGCCTGATTCTGGGCCGAACACTTTCTTCTACGTATTCGACTATCAGACGAAGGACGGAGATTATCCGCAGGTAAATCTGAACTTATTTATGGTACCTAATAATAATGCTAATACTTAAACTTAGGCAAATAAAAATTCATTAGAAGAAGAAAAAATAGATATGAATACTACTGACGTATAAAACATAAAAGAGAAAAGATTATAAATAATTGTAAGTACAAAAGATAATCTTATTAGTAATACAATCTGTTCTAGACAACCTTTATATAGTTACTAGCTAAAGAATGTTCATTTTATTCGTAAATTTATTATCGATTTCAAAAGCAACATAGCAACGGTTTCATCAAATAATTCATAGACAAACAATAGATAACTTGAAAAGCTACATTTCGGATTCAGTCGCTATAAACTACAAGATAAACATCGGAAACGTACGATATTGGTGCAATATCCAATACAGAAATTTAAAATTGAAATTCAATTTTAGCGAATGGGCTCCGTCCACGGAGAAGAATTGCCGTATTTGTTCGGTGCACCCCTGGTGGACGGACTTGGACATTTCCCGAAAAACTATACGAAATCCGAAGTGGCGTTATCGGAAGCGTTCATTCTGTATATGGCGAATTTCGTGCGGACCGGGTAAGTTCGATTTTTTGTTGATCTGAAATATAAATCATCAGCGTTTCCTCTTACTCAACGTTCTCGTACTAGTAAAAATATTTGAGGAGGTATAATTCAGATTTACATGGTGAGTCTTACATCTTAACTAGTTACAATTTTCAATCCGTTTATAATTTCTATTCTAGAATTCTGCTCAATGAATTTAAAATCTATAGACGTTTATTTTTTTCCTTCATTATTCAATTTATTAAAGTAACCCATATCTAAAACATTGGTCTTTTCCTTTCTATTCAACGCTATTTTTGGCTGATGCCGATCTTTTATTTCCAATTCAATAATTTTTCTTTTAAGATAATAATTACCATGTTTTTGATAGTTGGTAAACATAGTAAAGAAGTTGGTAAAGTCAATAGAAGTACACTCTTCATCTCTATTATTTAATAGGTTCAAATCAGTTTTCCATTTCTTCTTTACTACTACGTGCTAATATGAGATATTAGATTAGGAAGTTAGTTAATATTCTACACAAATTAACATGTTTCATGGATCATGCGATAGGTTGCATAATTACAAAGATGTAGTATTCCGCGTTTCCCTTCTAATGGGAGTTAGATGATATATTACTCCTCGTTCTCCTGTCATTCGGATTGGCATCCATTTCATAGAGTGGTCTACTAGTAAAACGGAATACCTTCCGAAAAAATTCTCACCTCTCTCATACTAATATGACAACTAAGTGACGTAAGTAATTTGGAAAGCTCAAAATGTTTTTGTTGTTTTTCCGCATATGTCTCTTCGGGGGAAATATTCAGTTTTAGAGTACTCTCTTAAAAGGATATTAATAATTTTCATTCTGTATATAATCTTTATTCTAGGATGCTCAAAGATGAATTTAAAGTCTATAGACTTTTTTTATTTATTATTGAGCTTGTTAAAGTAATCTATATTTAAAACATTAGATCTTTTCCTCCTAGTTCAACGTCATTTTAGCCAATATCGATCTTTTATTTTCAAATCAATACATTGTATTTTAATATATTAATGACCATTATTTTTAAAAGTTAGTAAATATAACAACAAAATAGTTAAAGTCAATAGAAGTAAATTCTTCATCTCAATTATTTGAAAGATTCAAATCACTCCATACCATATTTTACTTTTCTCCCATTTTAACGCTTACTTTTTCCCCGATGTCACTTTTGTCTGCACAACTACCATCGCTATGTATAGTGTCATTATTTTCCCGATTCTGTGAATACGAGGACTGTTGCAATATTGTTAACGATCGACATCCTGTTTCTTTCACTCTGTATTCTTTACGAGAAATATAAATTAAACCAGAAAAAGACATTTTGCAACTCTATTATTCAACTTAACTGAAATTGATCTATCTTTTTCTCTTTGATCAATCTATTTATCTTTTACACCCTACTCGACTTTGGCTCTTTTGTTTCCAATACAATCTTCACAGTAAAATAGAATAATTATATTATTATCTACATTCGCTAAATACTAGAACTGGCAACTTGTTGTTGTATTAAATCAACAAACAATTTCTCTTCACGTCTATTATTCGCATTGTTAAAATCAATCAGATCAAATTATTCATCTTTTTCTCCCTTTCTCGTTTTTCTCACGTCAACCTTTTCTCTAACACAACCATCGTATAGTACAGTGTCATTATTTTCATGATTCGGTGAACGCGACGACTTTTACAGTGCTAACGGCCGACTTCCTGTTTCGCCCTATTTGGTTACAGAACAGAATGGAGAAATATTATGTTGGCCCAGTTCGTTATTGTTTTACTGGGCTTTCCGAATGGAAGAAAACAATTTACATAGAGCGAATAAAGGCGGATTACGAATCGCCCGGTGTATACTCGTATTGTTTATGTTGCAGCTAGCAACAATTTTTAATGTGGGCAACATTATTAAATTTCGAATGGTTTAAAGGATGAAGTGTTAAAATGTTTGTATGTGTGCTATATATTATTATTATTATTGAAAGACGGACTTTTTTTTCAGGCAGAAAAGCCACTGCGACATTTCCATGATCTTTTGTGCTCGCCTTTTTATGCTATATATATACCTTATAATAATTTAATTTCCCTTTGTGTCTTTTTTCCTTTACTTGGAATAATTTACTTGAAAATTAAATTGACATTTGACCAAGATGAAAAAAATTTCGTATTAAATTAAATTCGAATTTCGTATTAAAAATTATCAAAATTGATTCTCCATTAATTGATTTTTAAAATAAAATATAGCAGTTTCACTTTCTACTTCGGATTACTTCCGTTTTGGTGCTGTATTATTTTTTTTTGGCAGCAAACAAGTATACAATCTGTCTGATGGTAAACGGTCACTGTAGCCTATGGATGCCTGTAAGTTGCAAACTAGGGATGTCACGAGTGCATTGCTGACTTTGAACAAACATTAATACATTACATTACATACATTTGTCATTATAGAGTATACTAGTATATTTGTTTAATGAACCTATTATCGACTTATTAGGTTTATTAACGCAAGAATGAACTTACTATACAACTTACATAGCAATACTATGATGGCTAAACAGTTTGATATAGTGTTTTGTTTTGAGTTTTTCTTCTCTTTGTACTACTGTATTTATAGTTTATTAACTAGTATTATTTCCAAACTTATTAATATATAAATGCGAAATATTGTAACGATAGATGGATGTTTGTTACTCTTTTACGCAAAAACTACTAAATGGATTTGAATGAAGTTTGGTACACAAACAGATTATATCTTAATTTAGTACATAAGATACTTTATATGCTAATTCTCGTGGGTGAAGCCGCGGGATACAGCTAGTATTTCATACAACTTTCTCTCCTTTTTTTATGAAACTTCTTTCATTTCCATTTAGGTAATGCGGCTATGAAAATATGACGTCTTGCATAATACAGCGAGTCCTACATAAGTATTCTTGGCAGTCCCTTTCCAGGATTACAATTTATTGTTCCCATTCATTTTCGTTCATTACATAGACTAAACCCGATAGACTCTGCCATTCCAAATTGTACCTTATGTAATTAACATTGAGTCCTTTCATTAGGAATCCAAATGAAGCACAACGACAAGAGGGCGTATTACCAATATCGAGGGAAAGGAATCGATACAAGAGTATCGTTTGGGATGAATATGATACGCTACATCAGAAATATTTGGAGATTGGTAAGGAACTTTAGTACTATTACTATTGGAATATTGAAAATTAGACCGTATGCCACTAGTAATACAGGCGGGTCTACTATGAAATTATAAATACAATTGTCGAATACTAACGTTACACGATCCAACATTGTACAGATTTTTATGACATAAATGATTTGTTTAATGTATCATTTATATGTTGCCATGTTGTCCCGGAATAGAATGGGCCACCCCTTCCTTTAAGTGTAGTAAGTGGGTGACTAAAGAGAATTAATAGTCGAGGGATGGGCAGCAGCGTTCCTTTTAAAATATCATCAAAGCATAACTGCGGTTGCCAATTTGTCTACAAAACGTGGCAATTACTGGCAAAACCCCTCTATGTTCAGTGGTAGACAGTTAATGGGTAACATGATGATGTATATGTTATAACATTAATTTGGCTTTTGCTGTCATAATATTGTAATTATTTGTAATAAATAAATAAATGTTAGTAGAGCTTATGATATTACATTACATTTCATATAAAAACTCAGTGAGACTACATTTTGTTTCAGCCGAAACCTCGGATTGGATATTTTGTAGTAGGCCCCCTTTTATAGCAAGCAATATGGTTGTAACAATTGGTTAATGTCTTAAAAATAAAATTATTTTATATAAAATAATTACTCTAAATTATCTATTTTCAATTTACTTTGAATCTCAATTAATTTAAATGTAAATGTGTCATTCAATTATGATACAAACTAATATATTTTATTGATAAATATTTATATTAATTATATCGAAAAGATTTTGATATTTTAATAAATTCACATAAATTTTAATACAAGAATAGAGCACGTTTTTTGGTTCTCACAGTAATATGTAGGTCATCATTTTATTAAGCGGTACCGATAGACTAAAGAATTGTGTTTATTTAATATACTATAAAACTTGCCAAATAATAACTAAAGAACTAAAGAATATCTAAAGAAGTAATAACTTTTGATCATTTTTTTATTAGTTACATACTAACTTTGTTTATTAAGTAATGTTATTTAAAAGAAATAAATTCTATTAATTACAAGCTTATTTCGTCATATAAATCGATGACTTAGTTTGATTCTCTGTGAGGTCAAAACATATTAAAAAATTTGATAAATAATAATTTTATTTATTAAAAATTTAATTATTCGTAATAAAGTAATTATTACATTTAATTTGAATTCAAGTTTAAATAAAATATGTCATATAAATTTTATTACAATTCGAATACACATTTAAAACATAAAATATACACAAATTAAAGTGGTAACATGTTCTTTAAACCGTGTAATTATATGAACACATGTAGTGAAAAAATCTATTAAAATGTTCCTTGTAAAGCAATGGAATTATTCAAATAATATTATAAACAAAATAAATATTTATACACATAATGAAAAATAACATCTCCTGTTGCATATAAATATTTAATAAAAGCGCAAAAAAAAAAAATGAAAATTTAATCTCGCGTGTGTCGACCGCGCTGTGTAATATCAATTTTAAAGTTAATTACGGCGACCTTACTCGTTTGGAGCGACGCGGACCGCCAATGTAATTCGGCGTCCGTAAATTCCTTGACCCTTTTACATTCAAAAATTCTATTGCAGGCATGAAGCCGCGGATGAAAAACCATTACCGGGCCCATCAACTGTCCGTATGGCTGCGGTTGATCCCGGAAATCCATAGAGCGGGGATGAAGGACGTGGTAGCGAAGCACAACCTATTCAGAAACCACAACGACCCGGAACTGTACGATGGCCTCGTCCGTCCGGACCCACTGACCCGTGCCAACTATTACGACCCGACTCTAGAACTATACCGCAGGCCGATCTACAACGTCACATTGGATATACCATCAACGACAATGGACACGTACGTCACTACCTGCATAAGCGTAATGTCCGCCAGACCAGGCTCCGCGGTCACTCAGAGTCACGTACCCAATAACACTCAACAGGACGTTTCTAATCTTGAAGTTGCAGGATACACAGCTTACTCGACAGCACTGAGCGTCACTATAGCTATCGGATGCTCTTTGTTGATTCTAAACGTCCTCATTTTCGCTGGCGTCTACTATCAGAGAGATAAGACGAGGTTGCAAGTGAAAGCGTTACAACAACAACAAAAGAGGAATCACAACTCGACGTTCGATAGCGTATCATCTAAACACCCTCATTACTTCGTGGGCCACTCGCAAAGTTCGAGTACGATAGTAGATATAGATCATCAAGATAAGAACGCAATTATAGCGATGACAAACAGAATGCCGCATTTCACGAGCGCTAACTGTCCAAATGTCTGTCACACTGGCATACAAATGTCTAATTTGTCACAGAAGCCCAGCCCTCCATCGAATAGGGGGCAATGCACGACGCTGCCGAGAAAAGTCGGTTTCAGCTATCAACAGCAGAGTCAGATTTGCAATGCATCGTCTTGTATGACTTTGCCCAAAAACGCTACGTTTATGAGCAGCGCGAGCAATTTGCCTGATGTTCAGGCTCAAACTGGACAGTCCCAAGGTCCAGGGAATGGATCAGTGCTTCCTCCCCCCTCCTCGCCCCCATCGCAGCATTTCTCGCAAAAGTCAAGAGTGCCACAAGCAGCAATGTCTGAAATGAACGTATGAGATATGGAGGATATTTACAATTATGTGTAAAGTGTTACAGTAGGTGACGGGACACTGTATAGTGTAATCACTGGACAAAACATGGTTGTAAATATCAAAAATGAATAAAGAAAATTATTGTAAATAATTAAAAATGTTACAATTATACACTATTTATAATACAGGTAATGTTTTAAGGTTTATAGATGTATAAATATAGGGTTTACTAATAAAATAATTGAATAATGTAAATTGTAACTTTCTGTTCGTTCTTGTAAATATAAACGTACATAATTTGATATAGTTTCCATTGAAAATGGACGAAATTCGTGAACTAACTCGCATTATTGCACGATGAAATAATTTTATTACTTTAACTGTGACATAAACTATTACTGTTCTCTTAAAATTGAATAATTCTAATTGTTAATTCATATTAGTGTATATTATTACCATTAAAAATGGCGTAATGATTGTAAATAAATTAGAATCTTAAAGACTGTATACTGTATTGTAAGTAATAGTTTAATTTTTCAATAATTTACAATTTGATGAGACACAAGTTACCGATGGGTTTTGAAATGTTTAATTTCAAACAACCCAAAAATATTTAAAAACATTCTCAATTAAACTAGTAGTATTGTATATTGGTATAAATTAATGTTAAATCTGATTTAAATTACGTTTGTATTAAAAATCTGTGTCATAATATTAAATGGTAGAATACCACAAATTTTTTGGAAACATTCTTATTTTTTCAATATTTCGATCAACAATACTATTCAGATACCCAATTAGACCAAAAAAATCGTCCAAGCAAATAACTACGCACTTGCTGAGTGACTTCTGATTTATAATCAACTTTTTTATATTTAATTTTAAAGTCGAATACCGAATTTATTAAAATTTTCGATTATCTTTTGTTTTAAACTTAGATAGATGATATCATATTTTATATTTAGTTAGTGAGACGTTATTATTTGAATCTTTAGTTTGTGAGACGTTATCTAATTGATATTCTTGATCGAAGTATCGTATTATTATTTTAATTATTACTGTTTCTTCATGTACCTTTATAGGAATTCGTATAATTACCTTAATGCAAACGGCCTAACCTTAAAGGGACTCAAGCCACTAAGAATATGGCTGTATTTAGGCTAATGTTCAACGATAATGGCTGGACCTGCCTTCAACAGAAGTGATCGTTAGCCATGGTTTATTGTTTACTATTACTATAAACGAAGGGTACACCTTAGGTCTGGTGTCTATGAAATTTTCATCTAAGTAGACACATTAAGTGAAGCGTATAACATATTCAGATATTATATCAGAAAGCAAATGAAATTGGAAATTTTTTATAAGTGATAAATCTTATTAAATTTCAAAGACAAGTAATTGGAAAAGAGAATATCGAGTTATTTTCTCTGCAGTGCAGTAAATGTATAATTACTTTTTAATCAATTAATCATTTATTTTGTATATATATATTATAATAGGTACATTAATTAATTACTTATTGGCACTTTAAAACGTTAACACAAAATATCATAAAAAAATTATTTTAGCATAGCATGCAACATTTTTATCTCATGAATGCGGATTTTGTCTGCTAACACTTGTCTTAGTTTTAATTATTCTACACTAGACTGTGTTTGTAATTTGGAAAGTAATTTGGAAGAAGAATCCTAATACGTCCTCTCTTATTGATGGCAATAAGAGGGGACGTACTAGGATTCTTAGAAGGGAAAAGAGGATGCAGTAGGAGTTACCATTTCATTTTTATCCCAATAAAAAAGTCTTGTACAACTACAGCCTCATATGGTAGTTCAAGTAATTATGAATTAGGTTCTTAATCAAGTAGAATTCGGTACACGGCGATATTGATCAATTAATATATGGACATAGTAATAGCGATCGGGTTTCGCGAACTTTCGTCGCGAATTATACTACAGCGGGTCTACCATGAAATGAAATTCCGAAATTTCGGACTCAATTTCGTGTTTTTTTTTTTATACCAAAATCGGATCAATAAATGAAGTTTCGTTCGTCATACATCCTATCATAAAAATTCAAAGGAACAATATTTTAACATTTTTAATATTTCCAAACGGCATGTATTATGTAATTTAAACATCAAATTTGTGTTTCGTTTGGCTCCCAGTTTACTAAAAATTAAAATCATTATTAGAATTAATTATACGTATATTCATATAAGATACTTAGTTGTCATCATTTATTCCTATCAATTTTTTATCCTAAGATACAGTAGACGCAACCAATAAGAACTGGTAAGAAACCCGACCATTACGTATCAGGTATAATCTAGACAAAACATCGAGTGAAGTAAATGTTTTAGTTCCCATTGTATAATTCGCGTTAAAACCCAACAACACAATACTACAGTTAAACGAACGACATAATTAACTGAACGATTAAAATTGTCAACTAAAGCAACTAAGTTATTAATATATACTAAGCCATTACTCCTTTGAACTTATTACTTACAATCGCGGAGTCAATAAAAACCAGTACTTATTGCTTTCTTCCAAGGAGCACTGAGTCGCCTTACTTAGTTATATAACTTTATTGCTCTTTTAGTTTTATTTATTTGAAATTTCCTTGCATTTATGAATACGGCGTCGCTCAACTATTCGAGCTTGAATTTTGTTAAAATACTGCCATATTTCCTAGAAAGATAGACCCGTCGCCTCAAACTATTTGAGCAATTTAATTTTCAATTCTCCTCTCGCGACGGTCGGGCACGAAAATTTATAAAACGTGGCGATACGCCACCTTTGTGCCTCTGATAATGCAAGCGAGGATGCGTAACTATTTTATAATAACAATAATAGTTCTTAAACAAACTCTTACGTAACAATAAAAGCTGACAATTTGAGAACTTGGTCCTTCATGTATTCATTTAAAATTCATCCCTTAAAGAGCAATTCTAACTCATAAACAAGAAACAGTACAGCCTGTATTTAAGATGTCATCACTCTTCGCAAGTGTTTAAGCTATAACTTTAAACTTAAGCTCTTATAAATAAGGGGCGTCTTTGTGCCATTAAGTTAGTGTCTTGTGAATTAAGTGTTTGAAATTAGTATTTGTACTATTTTTTTTTCAATTACTTGTCTTTACCGTGACTCTACGTTAATTAATTACAATTCTTATTACTATTGTTATACTTTCAATATAACACTACAAAATTTTGTAAATATCATTTTATAAAAAAAAATTATTACAATAAATTATTGATTAAATTATAAACAATTTAATTAAGAATTAAATTAAATTAATTTTAATTATTTCCTAAGTGGTATGTTGTATTAATATTTTTTATGTAAAAAGAATCCATAATTATCGAACTATGTTGAAATTTATATGATAACAAGTTATCTAAACGTTACTACGAAATCTTATGACAAGTATCAAAATTAAAAAAATAAGACAAATAAATTCATGAAAAATATTAATTTTGTTTCGATTCATTACCATAATTCATTTGATATTAATTATTAAACAGACCTAGCGCAACATAAATTTTGTAAAGTGAATGAATGAATTAATAAAAAATCGTTATTGTTCCCTACAAAGAATTATACAGACTATGAATATTAACAATATGTGCACAAACAGAATGAATGCTTAATTACTAGCAAAACTTCCCTTATGGGGATGGCTTATGTCCAGCAGTGGACAGTTAATGGCTGAAATAATAATAAAAAGATAAAGGGGCAGCAATGGGCGGCCTTATCGCTATATAGCAATCTCTTCCAGGAATCCTTAAAAGTATATTACTTTTCAAAATTTACGCGACTAAAGGTTTTATAACACAACTTAGAATAGCAATTAAACTGATGGAGTTAGCAACCTTTGTTTATAAGCGACTAGTAGATACAAGTTCGTTTTTGTATTCTAATAAAATCATAAGAATACAAAAACAAATACAACGAAGCTAACCATGTACAGAGATAACTTTTATCCTAATACAATCATAGCAATCAAGTGAACCCCTAATCTAATGGTAAACAATTACCACAGCTAATGGATACTTGCAACTCAGAAACGCCACCTGTATCGAACCGAAAAGAAAAATTTTTAGAAGTACCCTATACAGCCTCTAAAGAAAGCTTCCACAAAAAACTCATCCTAAAAACTAAACGTTCTTGAGAGAAAATTCCCCTGAAACTGCGTTGTACGCTACTATTTACATTTTTGGCTGTAGTTATGAATTTTCTGTTAATGGTATGGGATTATATAGAAGGTGGTCGTAGGTATCATCCGAAAAAAATCACTCATCGACATTATTTCAAACAATTCGTTAGAATCGAGTTAAAAGACCCAAGCTTGTATCTAAGTGCTCTCGCCCAAATCTGAAATGTATTTGTAAAAGCCAACCGCTTAAATATTTTTTTTATATGTCGATCGGTCTGATGGAAAGTGTTGGTAAGATCTAAGATGAAATGCTCTTATCTTTCTGTAATATTTTATGAAGATCGGACTTATGTTTTAAATGTTCATAAGGACGGATACCAAACAGTCAAAGGACAGAATGATAAGGCTCCGTCTTAGCCATTTGGCTACCGAACCAAAAAAGTAACAAAAATAATATAGCTTCCCACCATCCCCTGTTAAAGGAGATGGCCATTTCCCTTTGAAAGGCACTCTAGATTTTTCCTCGTAAAGGATTCCCAGCTCGAGTCTATAAAACACCTTTGACAGAGTTATCTACGCCATCTTTTTCACGGCTCATATTAGGGTTATTTTCTCTGAGGTGCTGACTAAAATGCCGTGCAGGAGCGTTACACATTTTCAGCGTCAGGTTTTTATCTGCTTTGCAAAAAGAACTACCGAGTTTTGAATATTTTAGACGTAAAAAATTGTATTTACATATTTCGCACTGCAAATATATATTTGCAGTGCACGTAAAAAGGAATTTTACATTTAACATTATTTAGAAAACAGAATTTTATGAATTCTTTGTCTGTAAACGACAGATAGTACTTGCTATCAAGTAGACTGTTAGATTGTTGGTCATTTCGATCGCCTGAAAGATATTCAATTAAAATTTCTTTACTACTTATTTTAATAATTCATTTTTTATTCCTATTGGTTATGCCATAATATATAGTATTTTTTTATTTATTTATTTCTTTTTTTATGAAACTTAAAACGGCAAACAAGCTGACGGCCCACCTGATAGAAAGTGGTAACTGTTGCCTATAGACATGAGCAGTATCATGGACATAACAAAGTATACTGTTTCACCCATGATACCTCCATGCGTTGCCATTCCTAAGGACTGACGTGTTATTCCTCTGTACTCAATAAATTCACTGCATTATGTCACCCTACAAACCGAAACACAGCCATGCAAACACAACTGCTTCGTGGTAGAAACACGAATGGGACAGAAGTGCTCAAACAAACGACTTTTGTGCAGTCTCCCTCTGGTTTTATTATTAGATATTTATAAGTTTACATCCCCACAGATGTGATGGAGTAAAAATACCACACCCAGAAAAGCCATACAGGAACAATTATTCTTAAATTCATCTTTTCGCGTCGCTCGCAATGGTTATGCGAGTGTTAAAGGGGGTCGCAGTTTTGAAAAACAATGAGACCTCAAAAAATTTGTTTAACGTAGTGATGCGCAAGTTTACTAATCCAACTACTAATTATTCGACTGAGCAAATCTTTCGGATTATTGAATATCATATCATAAGAAATTAGTAGCCGAATGATTTGAAAATCATTCGACTCCCTCCACTCAATCCACAGGAAACCATTGTGGTAAAATGGTGAAATTTTCTCCATATGTCAAGTAGCTTGAGTTCATTCTCACCTTCACAAATACCCCACAAGGGGGGAGGGTGTTAGTAATGCGGCCTTCAGTCTTATTACTACTACCTTGACAGGTTAACCTCCACGTGGTCCCCCTAGAAACCATCATGCTGAATTCCAGGTGTATTTATCACGATGGGCTATTTAATCTAGTCTTTCATTTTCACTTATCATCCCTCAATGGTGCCTCGCCAGTGTATATCGATAGCACGGGCGGGGTTACAATTCCATTATCCTTCAATTAAAAAAAACACCGCAGGCGCAGTGCAGTCATGCCTGCTACCTACCATTCCATTAAGATCTATAAAAAACAACCATTTTATATTTGCCAATTACTTGATTCGTATTGTATACATCCGCATGTTTCAAGAAACTCAGCGAAGCAATCTAAATTCAGTGAAACTCACTAACGAAAGCGTACGAGTATAAGAGGAAAACTCAGTAAACCAACGATTCTAAGTGGTATCGGAAAAGTTACGAAATTAGCGAACCCTGACCTTTTCAGGTCTTGATATCGCTTTCGAAGTTTGAAAAGGAGATAAGTTATAATCTATTTTTATATAGTGTTTCAATCACTATTGTTTCATTCGAATCTGACGCCAAAGGTTTTGTAGAATTTTCATAAAAATATTGCACCTATACACCGCTGCACCGTGTCGGTTCCGGCATAGAATGGGCCTCACCAGAGGGAGACTTTGTACAAAAGTCGATTGCTTGGGTACCTCTGTCCCATTCGTGTTTCAACCGTGAAGCAGCTGTATTTGCATGGCTGTGTTTCGGTTTGAGATGTGGGATATAGCGTGAATTTACTGGGTACAGAGGAATAACACCTGAGTCCTCAGGAATGGCAACGCATGGGGGGTATCATGGGCGAAACAGTATACTCTGTTATGTCCATGGTACTGCTCATGTCTATAGGCGACGGTTACCATTTTCCATCAGGTGGGCCGTCAGCTTGTTTGCCTTTCTAAGTTGTATAAAAAAGAACCTTCCTTTCCCGTGGGTGTCGTAAAAGGCGACTAAGGGAACGTATGTTCGAGAGACGGGAAGCTTCCCTCTTAAAATATTTCCAAAGGCCTAACTGCGATTGCCAACCTGCCTTCCAAGCATGGCAACTAAAATCAAAACTCCCCCTTTTGGGGAGGCTTATAACCGAAGTGGGCAGTAACGGCTGAAATAATGGTGGTGTTGATGGTACATAAAAAAATAATATTTATAATGAAACTTTAATTACATTTACAGTTCTATATTTAGTATTTATTTATTTATTTTTTTGCTGGGTGAAAATGGTATGGTAACCCCGCCTGCGCTAACGGGATACGCTGGCGGAGCACCAGTGAAGGGTGATAGATGAGAATGAAAACAGGCCTGTTAGCCCATCATGATAGTTTCCAGGGAGAACCGCGTGGAGGTCGACTTGGTTGGGTATATTGCTAGCAATGGGATTCTCAGTCTCCATTACTAACAATCCCTTTCCCCCCATTTAGTATTTAGTAGAAAATTAATAATGACGTATGTTGTATCCAGACTTGTTTATAGTTCTATATATAGCTACACGGAGTGAATAGAACCTGCTTGTTGAACAGTGTTGCTATGCGTAAAATATTATTTCTCCCTATATGCGTACACAAATAGAATACCTATAAATAAAATGACAAACGAAAAGGCGATTATTAATATTATAAATTTTTAAAGCTTTAATGATACATGTATGTTTGGATTATTGTTACTCTTTCACGCAAGAACTACTGAACAGATTTGAATGATTTTTTAATGCTTACAGGATACAGCTAGTTATAAATATATAGACCTAAGAATGACGAGATATACTATTACTTACTATATTTAAGTTCTTAAAAAATGGTATATTAAGATTTCTTCAAGACTTCGGAAACGAGCACGTGGCCATAGGCTTAGAGATGGGCAATCCACCTGGGTGGGTTTAAAGTCTGGTGGGTAAAAACCGGGTGTTTTGGGTTTATTGGGTTTAAACCCCATAAACACCCAAATTTTTGGGTGTTTATGATTTTGTACTTCATCATCGTCATCTCAGCCGCAAGACGTCCACTATACTGGACATAGACAATATTATTATGCAGCCTACAGAATAAAAACTTTTAATTTGATTTTGAGTTTATTAAGAAAGAGATGAAAGTAAAATGTAAAACTACAGTCAATCACTGTCAGATTCAGAGTTATTACAAGCGATGAATTGTATAGGTTCGATAGGCTCTATTTCGTCTAAACTGTTATGTTCATTTACTTGCTCAATGAAAGCTTCTAAGGTATTTTCTTCATTAAACTGAATGTCCTCGCATTCAGCTTTATGTTTAAGATTCCAGTTATAACAAATGAATGAAATTTTTTCAGTTCTTTCAGTTGTAAGTCGATTTCTTTTGTTATTATGTATGTAGCCTTGGATACTAAAGGAACGCTCAGTGGCTGCCGAAGTACAGGGAGCTGATAGAATACGAATCGCTACTTTGCTTAACTCAGTGGAACCACAAATACCTTTCCACCATATTAGGGGCTCAATGCTATCTAATGAGCTCCATACAAATCCTCTGGCCCAAAAGTTTTCTTTAGCTTTATAACACGCCAAATCTGCCATTACATTTGACAAACTTAAGTGTTGGCTTAAATTGTAGATAAACTCCATACCCTTAAGTTCTTCCTCTTGAGTAAGTTCGACTCCTAGAGTCCTGGGGTCTAGAATATATGCTGCAAAATGTATTGGCCTCATTGCCATATTGCATCTTGAAGATACTGATGTTAGAATCTGCTGTTTGCTTTCTTCGCTCAATGTCGAAATCTCATTTAATGCAAAACGTATCTTAGCTTGTACATCTCTAAATGTAATGTATGTGCGATGCAAACGATTCTGGTCGCTCTCTAAGTAAAATATGCTTTCAGTGACTGGTTCCAAAATACTTATACATTCCCCTGTCTTCGTCCAGAAATCATCACTTAGAATTAAATCTTTAATATCTCTTGAAATTACCACATCTTCTCTAACTGTTAATATTTGCAAAGCTATCTTATTTGCTTTCAAACTTTTTAACGAAGTAACATGACTTCCCCATCTTGTAGCACAAGGCAATTTTAGTGTTTGTGTAGAATCTTCACCCTGCCTTGATTTTATCAACAAGGAACTTAATCGTTGACTCCTTTTAACAGTTTTTATTATATTTATGGCTTGCATAATAAACACAGTTACTTCTTGTATCTTTACAATATCTTGGCACAACAAGTTAAGGATATGTGCACAGCAACCGAGAGGAACAACATGTGGATATTTGAGTTTTGTTAATTCGAATGCCTTTTGTATATTTCTAGCGTTATCGCCAATAAGTACAAGAAACTTATTTGCTCCATACACTTTCATTACTTTTTCAACTTCTTGGCTAAGGTATTCACTAGTGTGAGGATTACTTTCTGTATTCAAACTTTTAACGTATGCAGGTTGAGGTTTTGATATAAGAAAGTTTATTATTCCTTCATTTCTTAAATTAGACCAGCCATCGCACTGAAGGTGTAAGTAACTACAAGCATTTAGTTCCTCATTTAACTCAAAACGCATTTCTCTATATATTTTATCTAAGTATTTTGTCGCTAAAGCTTTACGTGAAGGTATTTTAAATTTTGGTTGCAATTTTTCGAAAAATTGTATCCATAAAGGATGTTGCACCATCGATAATGGCGTCCCTGTTACAAATATAGCTCTCGCTAATTCTGTTTTTATATGATCATCGGTGTCTTGAAACTCAGCATTTATTGTAGTGTTAGCAGACGACGAGGGGCTTATAAAAGAATCATTTGTCTCTATCTCTGACAGTCCAGACATTTTGGTTTTGGACGAGCTATCTTTTATAAGTTTCATAGAGTCTTTTAATGTTTCTGGAGATTTTGGACAAGTGATAAGATGTTGAAGCATTTTGGCAGCATTACTGAATTTGTAGACCTTATTACAAAGCTTGCAAGAAACAGACTTGTTTGGTAAAGTACGGTAGTGCTCCCATATGCGTAAATCTTTAGGTCTCCCCATTGAACCTAAAAAAATGAACGATGATTAGTTGGTCTGACGAAAATTCAACAATAGAGTGCCTATTTTTTTACAATGATTATTTCTTGTTATTTACAATAAATTTATTAAAAAAATAATAAAATAAATACAAAAAACCTTTGTAAAATTACATCTCCTCGGAGGATTAAACGCAGACGCTAGTTTATTATCGTATTGTTCTGTATTTTTCTCAGCAACTTCTTTAATTCGATTAGGTACTTACGCATATTATGTTAAAAATAAATATCTAGTACACATCTTAGGCTATCCACCATTATTATCCAATGACGACTCTCAGCTAACTATGCACTATCATCCAAAATAAACGTGTATGGAAAATTTTATCCCAGTCGGTTGAGGATTGAGGATAATTGCATCAACATACGAACATACCTACATACTTTTATTTACATAACGCAAGCTAAATAAAAGCTTGTAATAATACATCTAATTTTAAGTTAAAATTGTTAAGTGATCATGATATAATTGTATCATTCAAAAATCCACTTACCTTTAATTATTTCTTGTTAAGTATAAATATTATTTCAAATCTGCTCCCTTAATATGCACTTTTTTACTGCTTTTCCTACCTAACACGTTACCAGGAAGTCACGTTACCAGAGTCAGAGTAATAGTGAACACGTTTGACAGTGATTGTCGTCGCCTCATATTCAGCGTCGACGAATAGGGGAATCCCCAGTCATAATGTATTGCATGCGTGGCGGTCTTACTTCAAATCCATAAACAAAGAGATAATTACAGAACTCGATACTAGATGGCGCTGTTTTTGTTTGAAGAAAGTTTGCGGGCTAAAATACATAGAATTTCATCAATGACTTCCACAAAGAACAACATTTCTGTTTTTTCTAAGTCCGTATCTCTTCCGTATATTTCATAAGATATAAGCTTGGGCTACATTGTTATGCAACGTGATTTTGTCGCTGTCTTGCTAGCAGGGTTGACAGATATACGATTTAAATCGTACTCATACTATTATTTGTCTATTTTTTAATGTACGATCGTAAAGATTATGATCGTAATTCGCACAAAAACATACGACTTTTTGGTTACCTGGCAACATTTTTATTATGAAACGAACATGCTCACATCATCAGTCACATGCAACAATTTATTGGGGATTTCCCCTTCACATCTGGCAGTCCTGCTTGCTAGAATATAGGTAAGTCAGCCACAGTTACTGACGATCGATATTTAAAGGGTATTGTTTTTGTGCTAAATATTTCATAAAAACGTTATTTAATACTTTGTGGATTATTAATTTAGTTGATAATCACTGGAAGTAAAATGGATGCTAATTTGAGAGATCAAGATCTTCGTATAAAACAGTTAATAAAAGAAAATCTACGTAAGTACTCTTTTTATACCTAGGTAGGTAAGGTATAATAAACACAAAAGGTACTTAGATCGCGTGTGTTCGAAGCATTTATTCTAATAAATTTAATTTAAAATTGTAGAAAGAAAAAAATGTCTGCCAAGCCGTAGCCGAAGCCGATCTCCAAATATATTTGGCGATAGTGAGACCCAGTGTCCAGATGATTTACCCAGCGTCGTCGCAACAAAGAAAAAAACGAGGATAAAGTAAAAGAAAATTTACTGAAAGAAGAAACAAACTGTTCTAAATGCTTAATTTATGGAGAAGAGGATAAAAGAAATGAGTATTTCGGACTGTTAGTGGCTCAAGAATTTAAATATATACGGCCATGTGTGCGAACGAGGTGTTATGAAGAAATTTTAAAGTATCTACGGGAAGCAAAAGGCCAACATGTTGATCAACTGCAACATGAAAACACTGAAAATTAATTACTTTCATTTTATTATATATAGATTTTTAAAATTTCCTGAAATATTATTAGTTAACGTTTTATTTAATATTGTAGAATTGATCAATACAATTTATAAAAATAATTTATTGGTATTACTTACATATTTTCAAAAAAATACGTAAAAACCTATTTTTTTGGGTGATTATGGGAGTTTATGGGTGTTTATTGGGTTTTTACCAAAGCACCGGGTTTAAACCCGGTGCTTTGCCCATCTGTACATAGGCTACAGTGACCGTTTACCATCAGACGGATTGTAAGCTTGTCTGCCACCTTTGTGGTATAAAAAAACCGCCTAAAATAGTCGATAAATTTAGACGGACTGAACCTTATTCATTTAAAAATTACTTATAAATCCTTAAAAAAACTAGACTGTAAAATAAATTTTCTACAGTTAATGATTTATGGTTATAGGTGGACAAGAAATTTTACGAAAATATGCTATACTTATTTAAAAAAAAAAATTTTTTATTTCAATGTTTCACGTTCTCTATAAAGAATGAGCAAGTAATCTATTAGGGACTTCAATGTAATATCTAATCATATTATTTTTTGCTTAATAGAAAATTTCTGCTCCCGCTGACCCAAATTGCAAGACCCTTAGCGTGCTGAAGGGCTCTTAGCATCGCCACAGCGTATGCAGCTAAAGTTAGGGTTGTCAACTTATGTACTAACGTAACTTACTTTAATAATTTTTGAGGTAAAATAATTTATTTATACTATTTACAGCACACAAATACAAACACAGATATGCATGCACAAAAAGCGAAAGAAAAAAGGAAAGTAAATAAAAGAAGTAACATAATTTTTCCTTTCATGCCGCAGTAACATAAAATGTTCACAACTCAGTTCATTATTTTGCTCTCGAAAGGCCAAAACATTGTTTTTCTGTTGTTCCCAAAAGTTAGCCGCGGATTTTTCTCACAAAAAATATTATTTCTTGGATAAAATAATTGGTAAAATAACATACCTAATTAAGATACAGATATTAATGAATAATATTTGTGTTTAATATTTAAGAGAAAATAATTGTTATAAAATAATATTAGTACATACATGGCTAATAAAAATAATAAAAAAAGTAGAAAATAAATTATTAAAGTTATTACATTATACCGCCGTGTGGTCCCGGCCATCCCTTCCTTTCCCGTGGGTATCGTAGGACGCGACTAAGGGAGGGCGAGGGAAAGGCACGAGCATTCCTCTAAAATTATTAAAATGTAAATATTCAAAATGTTTTTCAAAAGGGAACTAAAGAGGTTTCTTCAGAGTTGGCTACTCGCGCGTAATATTCTGGTATTGCAAGCGCTCATAGGCTATGGTATACTGTTTACCATCAGGTGGGCTGTATGCTTATTTGCCACCTCAGTTGTATTTAAAATAATTATCTCGAAAGCCTAACTGCGGTTGTCAATCCATCTGCCAAGACAACTACTGGCAAGATCACCCCAAGGGGGAGATTTATGTTCAGCAGTGGACACTTAAAGGGTGATATGATGATGATGAAATATTATAAAACAAAATTGTCAATAATCCTCTTTTCTTACATTTCTCACCAGAGGGCGATGGTTACCACTTACCATCAGTTGAGGCCGTCAGCTTATTTACCACTCTAAATTGTATAAAAAAATATATGGGGCTGTCGTCTTAAAATAAATATTACATTTTTTTTACGAGAGTTTAGTATATTTTTATCAAAAATATAATTACTTTGTTAAAAATTAACAGCCACTTTATTATAATACGTTACTACGTCAACCTGTTTTACCTTTTCCTCATAAATTTACTGAATACTCATATTACATTATTTTTTGTTTGGGCATTCCAGTTACCTATTTTAATGGTATGTTTCCCTGTCCCGCTCGGCTCTCTCATCAATCATTATGACGTGTGAAGCCTAGTAGGATTATGAAAACAGAAATTAATTTTAATTTTTAAAATATATCTACATCTACACTAATATTATAAAGAGAAAATATTTGTATTTTCGTATATGTGTATGTTTGTAATGAATAAAACTCAAAAACTACTTTGCCGATTTCAAAAATTCTTTCTACATTAGAAAGCTACATTCAACCTTGAGTAACATAGGCTATATTCACTACTATAAAGATATTATGTTAAAAAGTCAAATATAGAAAATGCGCCGCCCGCCGCCCGCGCCGTGTCGGCCGCGTGGCTAGCTAGCCAAGCATTGTAACGGTGCGAGAGAGGGGTTAAGTGCGGCTCATAAAAATGTAAAATGTTGTAAAAATGTCCACCCGAGTAAAGCCGAAACGAGCCGCTAGTTATTTAAAAATACATCTTTACTGGTGAAGAATTGTACAAAATCTATATTTCTGTATCATCTATCAATTCTATAGACAATCAGATGGTGAGATATGATAGCGTAGTATATTTAGTTCCATATAAAAAAAAATGCAGACTTCAATAGCTGCAAAATCAATTATTTTGATTTAAAAATCAAACTACTAAACCGATTTTGATAAAATTTCTATGTGACCAATCTGAGAGTATAACTTTTCAGATGAAAAAAAAACAAGTCGGTTTAAAAATAAAGAATTTATGAAGTAAGAAATATAAAAAAATAACAACAAAGTTAAGAATTTTCTTTTTTTGGAGTCAGTTAAAATAGCTAGGTACTATGTGTTACTATATATATGATACTATACGTATACTTGGCAACCGCAGATAGGCTTTACAGATGTTCTAAGACGGACACTGCTGCTGTAAGTAACGGTAATGAATTATTTATCTATTTATGTTTATAAATTATTATTTTTCAAATTGTAGTGAAAATAAAGTGAGTTAATAAATAATAAAAATTATGAGTTGACAACCCTACGGTATACAGTGAGGGCGCCCATAAGAGCCATTCCAGCACTTAACGTGTGTCTAACGCGCGCAGTGAATTCGTTACGAATACATAATTTATATGGAAAATTGGGAGATTCACGTAAAAATATGGCGACGAACTAAATTAATATTATAATACAACAGCAATTTATATGTATGACGAACGACTGCACGAACATTTGTGTTTAATTTACGATCGCTTTATATGAGGTGATTAAGCTGAATGCTGAATTTATAGTGTAATAAATATTTTAACAATAGTAAAACGGCGAATAACCCCGTGAACTTGGTGGTAAGGGTCAGCGCACACCGACCGAGTGGCGGCGAACAGGCTAATGTCAATTTGTAATGTCAATTTTTAAATGTCAACTTTCGTATGTCATTAATGGTAATGATGCATATACCATTTTGAAAGTTTTTTTGTATACATCTTAGAATGGCTGATGGAAAGTGGTAACCGTCGCCTATAGACATGAGCAGTACCATGGACATAACAGAGTATACCCTTTCGCCCGTGATACTCCCCATGCGTTACTACTTACCTCTATATCTAATTCTCAATTAATTAGTATTGTGTGCGTGAGTGCGCATGTATTTTTTTGAGTGTGTGATATGTGAGGGAGAGTGTATGCATATCTGATTGTGTACGTGTGTGTGTGTGTATTTGTGTATATTAGAATAACTGCCTGGGTGTATATGTGTGTACTTACACACATGTACACACAGACACTCAATCAGGGTGTGGACATATGTGAGAGCATATGTATACGTGTGTCTCTATATTTGTTTGTATATATTTGTATGTGTTTAAATGTATAGGTTTTTATATTACATCGCTGTGTTTATTTATACTTATAATAAATCTGTAGAGAGATCAATTCTGTACATGAAATATATTTCCAAAATAACTATTAGGGGGTGATAAGTGATACTGATGCCAAAAATGCAATCAGTAAAATTTTTGTCTATTTGTCTGTATGTTCGTTATAAAAACAAAAACTACTGGACGGATTTTAACGAAACTTGGTACAATTGTTCTTCGTACTCCTGGGCAGGTTATAGTATACTTTTCATCACGCTACGATTAATTGAAGCAGAGCAGTGAAGAGAAATGTTGGGAAAACGGGAGAACTTACTCCATTTTTAAGCTTCCGTCGCGTGTGCAGCCTTAATGGCCACTTTTTTAAATGTAAAAATGTCCACCTGTGCGAAGCCGGGACGGGCCGCTAGTCTAGAATATATGTGATTTTAACCAAAAATCTTTTATTACAAGTGAAAAGTTGAAAGCTATAAATATCTAGTAAATATAAAAATAAACAGGTATTTCACATCTGAAATGCACATAAAACTGTTTCATTTCTTGTGTAAAGTAAAAAGACGATCCATTTTATATTTTATAGGGCCTTAAAGTCCGTTGCCTCAATTTCTTACTTTATACCTGTCTCGGTTTAAGATAGGGATTTAACACTACACAGCTCCAGCTTAATTTTCTTCAAGACTTTGTTTAACTTGGTTTATTAAAATTGCTAAATATGAGTTTTTACATAGACATAAAGTTGGATAGATGTCGCAGAGAACTTAATACATTTTGAGTGTCAATTTTATACTTTAAGTAAGATCAACATAGTGTACCCTTACATACTTAGACTGTAGACAAATTTAAATCCCGAATGAATATAAATTTGAATGCGGTTTGAAAGGTTTTTAAAATCGGTCAAAATCGGTTCAGAAGTCTAGTTTTTAAATCAAAATTACTGGTTTTTTTCCAGTATATAATCAGTTTTTTCGCGGAACACAATCTTAAATTGTATGATGCTTATCTTTATGCACACAAATTTAACTTTTATAATAAATTCATACAAATCTTATCAAAATTGACTTCAAATATTCTTAATTGTATAGTAATTATTGTTTGTTCTAAGCCATATAAATAAAAAAATCGGATCTCCGTTAAATTAATTTGTATTTAAAATACATAGTGTACATAGAAAGATGTCTACTTTCTATGACAATGGATGGCAGAAGGATTGTAAGGAATATATTTAGTAAATTATTACTTATTATTCCTGCGTGGTCCCGGCATAGAATTAATCACTCCTTCCTTTCCCGTGGGTGTCGTAAGAGGCGACTAAGGGACGACGAGGGGTAAGCAGCAGCGTCCCTCTTAAAACATCTCCAAAGTGTAACTGCGGTCGCCAATCCGCCTGCCAATCGTGGTAACTGCTGGCAACCCCACCCCCCCCTCCTCCCATGAGGAGGCTAAGGAAGCTGATATGGTGATGATGAATTATATATATATATATATATATATATATATTGCTAACACCATACATACATATATATATATAGACTTTTGATAT